GGGGCTGCCCTGCGACATATATCTGAGCTCACATTTAGTGAGATAAATGGAGATCCAGGAGTGCTGTGAATGAGGGGAATGAGGGCTTGATACAGCATCACAGAGAGACTGAATTACAGCAGTGTATACTGAATCTCAGGTCTGTCCATTTAGCATATGCTCTTTGTCATACTAAACAGACGTTGTCAGCCACAGATATTTTAGGGGCTGCCTGGCTAAGCCAGTAATAACACCACGTTAAAGATTGCAAGGGAACACAACATGGTTATTTACCGAGTGTGTGCATGTGTATAAAATGCTGTTGCCTGTTTTTATTAATAGATGTGTCTGAAATGTACAGACACACAAGACACTGGCCTCCTACATGTCTTTAAAATGTGCTTTACAATAGCCTGTTTGCCGTTCTAGTACCTCGATCATTTGCATGGTAAATATTTTAATATTTTGCAGCTGTTAATTCCTCTTGGCAGAAATACATAGAAGACTCCCCCCCCCCGCCCCAAATTCTGGTCTTGCTGGTGCCAGGATATGTGCAAGTTCATATGCTTCAGGATGGATTTAACATATCAGGTGCAGGGGTTATATTAAAAATGATGGTGGTGACAAGTAAACAGGACCTCACACACTTTTTTCTGCTTCCAGAGGGACAGAAAGTTAAATTCTTGGTTGGATAAGACTTCTACAGACTTCTGTAGCCTATACCATAACTGATACAACAGTGTAAAGCTCAAGCTCCTATATAAACTGACTCTTTAATATTAGTATAAAAATGAAGGCTACATGTGGGTAGCTCATTTTGTATAAGTAACCCTTTGAACTTTACTAAATTCAACTCTGAAGTGATTTGTTACAAGTCTTTCAACTAGCTTAATTGAGAGTTTTCGCATTATCAGTGAAATCACTAGTAGGCTTTGACAGCCACTAGTTTGTAAGTTAAGTCTAGCCTGTGAATCAGATTTTGGCCCTGCTATGGCTGCTTTGACTTTCTCAGGCAATGCAAAGCAAACAGTGCTGTCTGAGGTGGCTGGGAAGGATTCCACCTACCTGAAGATGATCTGAATGATAAAAGATTGCTTTAGATCGATGGTTCTCAATCGTTTGGGACTCAAGGCACCCTTCATTAAATTTGAGGTAATCCTCCATAACTTGTGTGAATAGAATCGCACCCCATTTCAAAAACTAATTTAATTATTACAATCTTGCAGTGGGGCTGGGCAGGGAAAGGGAGATGAGTTGCAAATGGAGCCTTAGCCTGCCCTTACCTGTCTACCTCTTCACACCTCCTGAGACACCCTCAAAGGATCTTGTGGTACCCCAGGTTGAGAATCACTGCTGTGGACACTACTACACTCATTTATAGAAGGACTTCATCATAAGGATGTAGCTGGAAAAATTTGTATGGGCTGGCTAAGGTATAAAAACACTGCAACTGGAGGAAGGTAATGTTCAGAATGACAAGTATGACAAGCAGGGCTCTAAGCACAGAGAGAAAACAAGCTAGTAGGTCTGTAGCAAAGACTAATAGGTCTGTGGCTAATATGCTGAACTGGGACTGAGATCTTTTCAACTCCATCCTCTGCCACAGATGTCCTATGTGATCTCAGGCAAGTTACTTAATCTTTCTGCTTCACCGGTGTAAAGTAGAAATAATGATACTTCCCTTGTCTGTCTTAATCATTTTAAGACAGAGCTGGGAGTGCTGACTATATAGGGTGCCTGACACTTCCTGTCATAAGACCTCGTTTTCACTTTAAGTGCGTGAGCTGAAGTTTTCTGGGTCAAGGCTTTGACTCAGGCTGATTTTTTCTTTTCTTTCTTTTTTTTGCAGGGGGTAATATTTCAACCCAAACAGTTGAGTCATGTCCAAGAACAAAGCTGGGGAGGGGGGAGATAATTTTTTTGCGATTTCTCAGTTGGTCTAATAAAAAGTATCATCTCTGAACCCAGAGTTTTAGAGTTTTGCATTTCTTTTTATCTGAGACCAACATGGCTACCAAGTACATTCTTGAGAGGGAAATACCTCTTTTCCACGTTGAGAATTCTTAAGATCCTTCCTTGAAAGCCTGTAGCCTCCCCTCCTCCATTTTTTGGGAACTAGGATCTAAGTGGTGGCTCTGCCTTTTGCCTTCTCCACAAAACCTGCTCAAATTGGGCCAAGTTTTAATCCTGTGTAAAAATCACAGGTTCCTCATGCTCAGTAGAAATTCAATAAATTCCATAGAGTCCATCTGCACTGGACATGCTTTGCCCCAGGGCTGAGCATGTCCTTCCATGCAACTGCAGCTCAAGACTGCTGCAAGCAGTGCTGGGCTAGGGCTTTAGAAGAACGTGCTCTTCTCTTTTCTGTTATTTCAATAAGCTGGGAGTAGACTGAGAGCGGCAAGGGGACTGCTTCATTCAGTGTACAGGACAGACCTGCTCTGGGCATGTGTCAGGATTGTGTAGTTAAGAAGAACTGTCATCTCTCATTGCAGAAGTTGTCAGGTCTATAGGCATCTTATATTCATCATATTCATTTAACATAGTGGCTTAGTATATAATTTAGATGGTGAACCATGCAGGCAGTGACTGTCTTTTATGTGGATATAGCACCCAGCATTATGGAGAGCCAACATGTACTGGGACTTTTCAAGGCTACTGTAATATTTAATCAGATGTATACGCAATAATTTTAGAAATTACTTAGCTGACCTGTCTCCTATCCATTTCCTAAAGTGGAAAGGAAACATGCTGCAAGTTAAATGACTATCTAAGCAATCTGTGTGAAAGCCATGGGAGTGTAGTGACTGCCTATAAAATGGTGATTGCAAAAATCAAACCCTAACTGTTCTGTGATGCCTTAGGAAGGAGTCAGCATTCACAAAAATGCCTGGCTTTCTCTATAAGGTTGGCTTCCTTCTTCCCTTTTCCTGAATATAAGAACAAGAAATCAGTCTCATTTCTACATCTCAAAGAAATGACTCCACAGATAATCTCTTCCACAGCAGGTACAGGCCATAGCTTTTAAAAAAGCTTACTTTTTAAAAGGAAAAAAAAAATCCTCTACTTGCCACTGCAGGACCCTGTCCTGCTGTGGACCAATCTACTGACCCTTTAATACTCTCCCTCCCCACTGGCTTCTCTGTAGGAAGGTGAAGTGTAATTAAGCTTTAACTCCAGTACCTGCTCTTAGGTTGGAAAGTTCCCTGAGAACAAGAGAAGAGGGGGCAAGCCTATAATGGTATATCAGTGCTGGCTGGGCACAGGAATTTGGCAGTATTTCCACAGCACTGCGTCTGCAAGCAGGGATGCTGCCTGCATTGGTTGTCACTTGCTTTGGGGACAGCCAGGAGTGAGCTGACTGAATGGAACCTCTCAGGCAGTCATGTGACAGATTTCATTTAACAGAGAATGGAAAAGTAGTTCTTTTTGTGCCCTGATTAACATAGAGTTGATTTCAGCAAGAACTCTTCTTGGTAACATGCTTTAGTAATGGAATTTAGATCATCAGTCTCAGGAGACTTTGCTGAAAAACAATGCCTGGTCTGCACTGAATCAATCCGAGTCAACAGAATATAACACACAGATGAATTCCCCTTACTGGTGTGGTCAGGAAGTTATTCTTTACCCCTGCAAAACTTCTGATGAAAACTTAATTTGATTTTTTTGTGGATAGTTACTGTTTCTTTTTGAAGGGGATTTACCCCTCCCTCCCATCAATAAATACAATTTGAGAAAATTTCTGATGTATCCAAAAATTCTGTTACAAATATTTTAATGAAAGCATTTTCACTGACTCACAGACCTATACTTCCTTGCTGAGCTCCACACATGGGTATTTCTTAGTAATATCAGCACTAGGGAAGTGGCATACCAGCTATGGGGGGCTGCAGTGAGGGTGCGTTTTGCCTTGCAGCAGGCAGGTTATATGCAGATATGCAGTATACCCTTTTATCAGGTATTCCTTTCAACAGTTTTTCTCTTTTACAGCAGGTGCTTACTTTAGGACAGGGGTATCAAAGAGATGGCATGTGGAGCCACATCATCCGACTCCCAAGGAGGCCAGTCTGGAACGCCTCCCCCCACCAAATGCTGTATCCAGTGCCCTCTTTGGCTAGTCCGGGACATGAGCCGCACATGACCAGAGCTCCAGCCGGTCCAGGGCAAGCACCGCATGTGATGTGGGTCCTGGAGTGGGCACTGCATGCAGTGTGGTGCCAGACTGGCCAAAGGGGGTGCTGGATCTGGCATAGGGGGAACATGTATCCCAGACCAGCTGGAGTGGGTGCCATGTGTGCACAGCCCTGGACTGGCTGGAGGAAGTGCTGCAGGTGCTGGATCTGATATGAGGGGGGAAGAGATGGGGGTCTGCGGGCCAGAGCTGGCCTATGGGATTGGCCCCATTCCACTCATTTGGCTCATGGGGCCAAAGGGGTTTGACACTCCTGGTTTAAGGCATAGAACTTTTAATAGATCTATGCTATGATTTATTAAGTTTAGGGCTCTTTTGGGGTACCCTGGGAAAACAGATCCATAGCCTTGCAACTTATACTTACTTTCTGGAGAGTCCTACTTTCTGACTGTATTAGCCAGGGTCATTTGTTTTATTAAAAAAGAATAAAGAGCCACACAACTTGCTCGAGGGTAGCAGAGTTAGGAGTTGAGTGTTAAGAAGTGCATATTCCCCTAAACTGACAGACTCCATGGAAATTCAGTTACCCTCATTTTCTGGGACAGCAATAACATCTCCAAATTATTTGGGGAGGGGGTCAATTTTAGTTTGGTAAAATGTGTTGTGTTGACTGCCCAATAGATGGAAGTCCTCTCTTTATCCATAGGACACCTACAACACAACTTCCCCGCTCAGTGTCCTGCAAATTTCCTGTAGCCTTGATTTGGACAGGCTACCCCTACAGATGACAGCATCGTTCTGTCTCTAATTTCATTCCTTGCTGATGGTAGCCACATGGATGCCAACTGACATAAGTTAGGCATTTTCTAGGTAAAACCACCCTCCTATCTTACAGGGGCCACCAAACAGCCTATAGATAAACTCACTTTATTTTTGTTTCTGTTGTGCTTTGCAGAAAAGATGAACACAGAAGAAGCTGGGAATGAGACCTCTCCAACTCTAAGTATTCTTGAATTCATAGCTAGTGCAACTAACTCGGTCCCACTAAGCTCTGGGCCCCCAGTGGAAAAGTCAGACCCTCTGCCTATCATCATTGTACTCATCTGCATCTTCCTTCTCCTGGCCACCT